GCTACGTATAAATGAAGCTGTTGTATGTCAGTAAGGCCTGTCAACATCAGACCAAGAAAACATTTAGGTATCGTTGATAGTCAACATTTTCTGTCTCAAAAGATAGTTTTTCTTACTATTTTCTCCCTAAGAGACATGAGATCTTGACATTATTTTATGAAATGGCTATTAAGCCATTTCCCTATTTGTTACTAATCAAAGCTACATTTATAACTTGATAAGCAGCATGACCATGGTGAGGAGATTATTGTTATAGATTATTATATGCCCTGAGCCTGCTGTGGGTGTATCATTTAATCTTCCCAACATCCCTGTTATGGGCAGATTCCATTACTAACTTCATTTTATAGCAGTGTTGATTAACCCATGCAATACATCTTAGGCTTTGGAAAATACAGTTTGACCCTTAACAATGGGGGCATCAGGGGTGCAGACCCTAACTTAACAGTCAACTCTGTATATGCGGTTCCTCCATATCTGCTGTTCAGCATCTGTGGATTCAACTAACCCTGGGTAGTTTAGTACTATGGTATTTACTATTGAGAAAAATCCGCATATAAGTGGACCGGTATAGTTGAAACCCATATTGTTCATGGGTCAGCTGTACTTAGACTGTCTCAGAGAGATTACCACTTCTCATTTGAGAACAAGTAACATGAGATCCTAGATTGGCAACAACTTATCTGATCCCAAACTCTTGTTTCTACAACAACAAAAAAGATGGAGACCTGTAGCTCTGAAATTCAAATGAAACCACACTTCTGCTGCTCAGTCCTGTATTGCACTAATAGTTCAGCCGGCCAGGTGCAGCTGGGCCTTTGTCCTCTGGTGAGGACAGCTATGATGGGTTCATCCTGCCCTCACTGGCAAGCCATTGACTGCCCCCATGACGAGCCTGCACCCGACAGTCCTTTGTGTGGTGAACCAGAGAAGCTGGAGCCATTAAAATCCAAAATTGCCTAGAGAGAGGATAGGGCTCCCATAACCTTTAATAATGTATTTGCTTTACAGAGGGAGGGGAAGGGAGAGCATAGGTACTGTAGGGGGGCTGCTTTCCCATCAGGAGGGGGACCAGAGGAAATGGATCTTTTACTCACTGATTTACCCTTAATATACCAGAAAAAATAGCCATCACTATTTACCACCTGGGCCCATAAACACCCCCCTTTTATATTTTAAGTCACTGTAAGAATAAAGGAATAGTGAAAGTCAATTTTATTATAAATTTTAACAAGTATCCAAAATATTTAAAATTTAGCAAGTATTAACAGCATAACAATATACTAAAAACACTGGATTGTAAACTTCAAATGGGTGAATTTTATGGTATGTGAGTTGTATCTCAGTAGAGCTGTCATATATACATATATTTGTATGTGTATACATACGTATACATATATGAGTTATAACAGCAAACAACTTCACATTTTCATTGTCTAGAAGGATATATACCCCAAACGAGCAATGTTACTTGAAGGCAGTGAAATGTTTATCAGCTGCCATGAAGTGAAGGTATTCCTCTTGTAGCTGCTGATTCCAGATTTCAAATACATCTCTAATAAGCTCTAGCTTCTGGGGCTCTTTTGGTTTTGTTTAGTATTACACTTGGATTGTCAACACGCAGTGCCTCAAAAAATTTTGGTTGGGGCTTCCCTGGTGGCGCAGTGGTTGAGAGTCCACCTGCCGATGCGGGGGACACAGGTTCGTGCCCCAGTCCGGGAAGATCCCACATGCCGCGGAGCGGCTGGGCCCGTGAGCCATGGCCGCTGAGCCTGCGCGTCTGGAGCCTGTGCTCCGCAACGGGAGAGGCCACAGCAGTGAGAGGCCCGCATACCGCAAAAAAAAAAAAAAAAAAATTTGGTTGCTTATAACTTTGTTGAAGAGAGGATAGCCATTTTCTTTGCTTCATAATTTTAAAACATTTTCACTTTTAGATTTATAAAGGTCAATTCAGATGACCAGTGAATTTTTTAAATTTCTACAGCATCTTTTTCTCCACTCATCTTTATGTACAGCTGCCTTCAGCTTGTCTCTATGAACTGTAACAAACTACCAAGTAAATTTGGGGGCATAGTCATCATAAAAGATACATACTGTCACATTGTCTTTGAGCACAATGGGATAGTCCAGGTTTTTGTCACAAAGAATTGTGTGATGAAATCTTTCCTCTTGAACAACTTAATACAGTAGTCCCCCCTTATTTGCAGCGGATACATTCCAAGACCTCAGGGGTTACCTAAAACTGCAGATAGTAGGGAACTCTACATATACTATGTTTTCTCCTGTACTAATGGGTGGGTAGCATATACAGCATGGATATGTTTCAGATTTATAAAAGAATTCAAGTCCGTATAGTGATTACAAAGTAGAAAGTTTTATTCTATTATGTAAGAAGTTCTCCTTGTTCTTTGAAAGCCCGCTAAGAAAGAATTACAGTTATAAAATATCAATCTTTACAAATAGTTCTACTCAAAAAAGAAACTCAAAAGTTAAATTTGGGTTCATCGTTTTCTGATTGCATACCAAGAGTTGTCTCTGTTCTCAGCCAGTGAGAAGATGGCAAACCCATGTGTGGCTAAGGGGTCATGGACTTGTCTGGCTTCCCTCTGAACTGAATGGTAACAGTTCACATTCAGCAGGCAGCCTGGGGTGCCAGAGAGCAGTGGACTAGGAGCCAGGGGGATCCTTTGTATATGGTCTTGGTCTAACCAGTAGTCCTTGTAATTAGGACACGTGGCTGTCACCTTTTGCTTGTGTTCCTGTGAGCCTCACTCACCAGGGACAAGCACCATGTCTCATCAAGTCGGAAGCCCAGAAGGTCAGGGACAGTATCCTATCAGGCTGGAATTTCCCACGTGGAAATGGTGTATCTCCTACTTCTAAACAACTGCTTTGCTGTGCCCCACACCATTTTCTCAGATTAGCAGAGGCTGCATGGAGGAAGCAGACTTTGGAGATAGCTGGACCCGAGTTGGAATCCTGGCTCTGCCACCACTCACCAGCCCTGTGACCTTAATTAGCAGGTCACTTCACAACTCTTGAGTCTGTTTACTCATTTGTAATCGGAGGTGGGAGGGGGGGAGGGGAGCAGTAGTAACTACCTCACAGGTATTATGAGATAGAAATCCAGGAAACCTTGATTTAAGGTATTCAGTAGAAGGGTTTGTTCCAGTCACTGGAGGACCCAGAGATGAAGGTGACACCTTTCCTGCCTCAAGAGGCATCCTATGGGTGTGTCAGGAGAGACCAGAGATGTCACACGAAGGCCTGGCCATATGTCAGGTGATGGAAGAAGGGCTGATAAGGAAGGAGTACAAGGAGGGAGTGGTCAGCTCTTGGGTGGACGGTGTCAGGTCTAACCAGGCAGACAGAGCAGGAAAGGGCATTGGCACTTGCATGAGCAAGCACTGGGGCACAAATGGCCATCATGGGGGAAACTGGGCAATCTGTCTGGCTACACAGAAGTGCTGAGCCTGGGTAAGATGCCCATGTCTCTGGGGAGAGCTTGCCCTGGATTTGCCCCTACCCTTTCCACTCCGGCTTTCGCCTGGGTAAGCAAGCAGTACAGCACCGTTGCTTTGTCCTGGGTGTTATGCATGGGGTGGGAGCAGGAAGGCTCTGAGGCTGGGCCTCTACCCCACTCCCCTCCCCCTCTGCCATTATCAACTGTGTCCAGATGGTCACAGGCTCCCTAATCTGGGATAATCGGAGGGTAGGAGCTCAGCTGGGACCCGGGCCTTTATGCTGCTCTGTGATGGGTCAGCCCCAGCTGGAGAGATCCCGCAGACAGGGCCCTGGGGCTTTGGAAGATGGCTAGGGGCTTAGTGCTGGCCCTGTGCTGGAGGAGATGGAGGAGCAGATGACAGCTCTTCAGAAGGCAATCTGAGTGCAAATAAGGGGAGCCCCAGGTGGGGCCTGGCTAGCTCCTCTGGGCCTCAGAAATACAGGCACAGAATCTGAACCGCTGGGCCTTGATTCACAGAGTCTGTGGCATCAGTCCTTTGTTCCCTCTCTTTCTACTGAGTTCACCCCTCCCGACCCAGCAGTTTTATGTTGCTGCCCTTCAGCCCCAGACCAACCCAGGCGCTTACAATGGCATCAGGAGCTTGTACCCCACGTTGATGTTGGGGATCTCACACATCCAGGTGCAAAGCTGGGCTCATTGGTGTCTTAGAGGCCTGTGGCTCTGGTGCCCACTACCGGGGGCCTCCAGTTTACTGCGAGTCTTGACCCCCGAGGCTGCTTGGGGTTCTACAACTGTTCTGTTTTGTTTCAGCTTCTTTCATGAGCGGGGGAGCCCCACCTTGGCCCAGGCTTCTAGCAGTGATCCTGGTTTTAAAGCCTTTATCCCAGAATCTGAATTTAGAAGCTTGAGCTTCTGCCTTATGTTTTACAATTCTGTTTCTGGTCCTCAGACATGTTTGCTTACTTACAAGCCTATGCCTCAGTTGTCTGGCTTTTAATTTTATCTATCATTGCTATAGGTGTTTGAATTGGAGAGGGTGGTTTAGAAAGGGAGAACCATCCTGGCCAGAAGTGTCTCATAGATTCTAAAGCTTCATGGAATCTATGAGTCATAGATTCTGCCTCTTACTAAGTATGTGGCCTTGGGTGAGTCTCCTTATCTTTTAAAATCAGTTGCTTCTCTGTAAAATACAGATATTAGTAACTAGCTCACTAAAAGTTTTTTTTTTTAAGTGCCGATAATCTGAAATTTAAGAATAGTGACAATTCTTGGGAGGAATGTGCAAAGGGATGGGTTTGGAAATAGAGGGGCCTACAAAGGCATTTCTTAAGCTAGTGATCTATGTCTTAAGCTAGGTCGTGGGAACACATTTATTTTATTATAATTCTTAAACTGTACAAAATATATTTCTTCTTTTTATGCATGAAATATTTCATAATTTTTTAAAATGTCCACGCTGCTATTATGAAGGTAAACGAGGTAATAACATATGAAGGTGTTTTGTAAAGAGTCAAAGCAGGGAGCAGATACTGGGCATTACTTCTCCAGGCAAAGGAGGCTTGAGCTGGAACACAGACCCAACCTTTGAAGGAGGTTTTATTTCTACAAGAAAAGGGGCAGTAAGCTAAGAGGCTGTTTACACCGAGGTGCCATGAGGGGAGCAGTGGTGAACCTGAGTTCTCCCTCCCCTCCCCACCTCCTGGTTCAAGTATGAGTCACCTGCCCAGGCTCTGGACGATGGTGACGCAGCCATGGGAGCTGGTGCAGCGCTGCAGGGATGGCTGGGCCTCCACCTGCCCACTGCTGGGGTCAAAGGTGAAGATCCTGTCCGTGCTTTCCCCATGATCATCCCGCCCGCCAAGGATGTGGACTTTCCCATCACACACAGTCACGCCACAGCTCTCCTGGGTGGACAGACAGACAGACAATTAGCTATAGGGTCCAGCCTGGAGCTCCCTCTGTCCCTAGCTGGCCAGGCCAGACAACAAAACCTTGACCCACAGAATATGAGTAGGCAGTCTGGAAGGTAGAGAGGTAAGAATTGGGTGGACCTGACTTCAAGCTCTGGCTTGACCCTTACTAAATGAATGGCCTTAGATAAGTCACTTCACGTTTCTGGGCCTCAGTTTCCTCATCTGCAAAGTAAGAATAATAATAGTACCTTCTTCATAAGGTTCCCTTAACAGTTAATGAGATTAAGCATGTAAAGCATTTTACATAGTGCCTGAAATATAGTAAGCACTCCAATAATAATTACCACCAGACTCAGAGAAGCCAGAAATCTCAGGCTCTTAGAATCACTGGAGGTCAGAACTGGCAGGGATCACCAATCCATCCATACCCCTATATAGTCTCTTTGGAGAGGGAACAGAACAGTGCCGGGAGGCAAGAAATGCAGGTGTGGAGCGTCCAGGGCCTAGACCTCCCTTCTCTGATATCACTGAGGCAAGGGAAACTTACCAAGTCCCCTCTCCATCCTCCCCCCTCCTCCAACAGTAAGCTACCACCTGGTGGCCTACAGATCAGGAGAGACTGCAGGGTCATTGAAACCAAGCCCCCCATCCAAAGCTATAGCACTTGGGACTGGGGTTCTAGGTTCTGCCTTACATGGCTTTAACTGGTGGCCTCAACCTCTCTAAGGCCAGTCTCCTTATCTTTGAAGCCCAAGGCTGATTATCGCTGTGAGACAAAGCTAGAGAACTACCGCCTAGTAAAACCGCCTAGCATGGAGTCAGACACAGGACTCGCTACCTCTGAGAACCAGATCCTTAGAAGTGGGTTTTTACTCCTAAATGGAACCAGTGCCAGGGCTGTGCCCAGGCCCCTCCACTTACCACAGGGCTGGGGAGGACAGCTGCCTCCCCCCAGACATCCATCCCAGGGTTGTAGGTGAAGATTTTGCTCATGAGGCCCCCAACCACATAGATGGTATCCTCCAGGGCGACAGCCTCGAGACACCGCTGCGAGAAGGGCGCTGGTGACCGCAGGCTCCACTGGTCCTCCTTGGGGTCAAAGCACTGCACCTGAGAGGAAGGAGTGGCAGAGGTGAAGCCTTGCCCCTCAACTGCCCTGCTGCCCACACCTCCTATCTCTCTCGGTCAAGGGGACTCATTCAACACATATGCCTATGTCCACCAGGCCTGAGCATGTGTGTCTCCCCTCACGTGTGCTCAGTCTGGTTCTATATTCCAGCTCCTCCCCCTGGACTCCCATTGTCAAAAGCCTCCTCATCTTTCAAGGTCCAGGAAGAGGTCTGTATCCCAGGAGGTGGAGATACCGTCTGCATGGGCTCGCAGAGCAGGTCCCCCATGGAGGTGCATTCCTGGCTGCATATACTGTCAACCCTCTTCCTCCCTGGTGTGCTGAGGTCATGACCAGATTCCAGCTGGGATGTCTTGCAGCCCCCATTTCTATAGCTGTCCACAGGCCTCCTAGGCTCACAGGTGTTTATGACGCCTACAATTTCTGAGGGTTCATACCTGTAGTTGCCTGCTCACCTTACTCCCTACTTCCTCAGTTGTGTCCTTGGAAACCCCCAGAATGGCCTATTCATGTCAGTGGTGCACAAGAAGGTGCTAAAGGGCATTCCCCCAGCCAGCCCAGGAAGGTGTGCTGGGAGTGGAGGGGGAATGAGGAGGGTGAGAGATCCTAGTTTGGGAAAGAGTCATATCTCAGGATCACATGCCTGTGAGGCCATCAGGGTGGGGAGGGAGCTGCCACAACGAAGATCAGTTTTTAGTCACAGAAAGCCTAAATGTACAATAGAAAACTTGGTAGACATTGAAATGATGGCTGTGAAGAGTTTCTAAGCATGTAGAAAGTGCTTATACTTGGAACAAGAAAAAACAGAATACAAAATTTTACTAAAACTAAAACAAAAGCAAAAGTCAACTCAGAGGAAGCTTAGAAGGCATTGCACCAAATATTAATGGTAGTAGTTATCCTTAGGTGGTGAGATTATGGATGATTCTTTTTTCTATTTCTCTGTTTTCTAAATTTTTAATAATGGTTTTTTGGGTTTTTTTGGCCACACCACGTGGCATGTGGGATCTTAGTTCCCTGACCAGGGATCGAATCTATGCCCCCTGCAGTGGAAGTGCAGAGTCTTAACCACTGGACTGCCAGGGAAGTCCCAAGTGTATTGTATTTTGGAATGGAGGAAAAGCATTTTAACTAGTCCCACCCTTGCCCTCACTTAATTTTTTAGATCTATGAAACCCATATGGCACCAGCCCAAACATTCGGGTCCAGACCTACTGTGTGACCTTTGGGTCATCTCTCTGAATTCATTTCCTTGCCTGAAACATGGGGATGACTCCTCAGTGCGTGGACGAGGACATGAAAGACCCTGCTCTGCGCCAGGCACACAGCAGGCCTCCACCATCCTCTCAGCTCACCTTGTTGGTGTTGACGCCGTCCCGCCCGGCGCCCCCCATCACGTAGAGCCGGCCGGCGCAGGGTGCCACAGCAGCTGAGCTCACTGCCTCTAGGAGCGGGGCCGCAGCAGCCCAGGTGTTGGAGAAGGGGTCATAGCGCTCTACGCTGCACAGGCGCCGCAGGCCGTCGAAGCCGCCCACCACGAACAGCTGTGGATGAGGGCATCGCCAAGAGTCAGGGCTGTCTGCGTCTCGGCCCCGCAGCCTCTGGCTGTGTGTGGAGAAGCTATCCCACCAGGGGCGCATCCCAGCTCCTGGCTCCGCGTCCTGACTCCCCATTATTGAACCTCCCTTAGCCGATTTTCCTGTACTAACCGGATGATACTGGTTTGTAGGATGGGTGTTGAATACAGATTAGATCTGTAAAATAACTGGCACCAAGTTGATGCTTAATAAAAATACCTACTAATTTCTTAAAGGTTTACCACCTTACTTAAGTGATGCTAAGAAGCACTTTTATTTGCATTTCTGAATTCGGGATGTAGCTTGCAAAGATAATTGGCAGATTTTTTTTTTCCTTTTTCTTTTTGGTCTTAAGTGGCAGAGTCAAGATTCAAACCGAGGCTCGTCGGCCCCAGAGCGCACACCCTTGACCACCTGCTACTAGGCTGTACTATTACAGTAATTACTATCATTATTAGCATTAGCATCATTATGCAACTTTGGGCAAGTCCTTTTTTCTTTTGGGGGCCTCAGATCCCTTCTTACAGAGAGCAGATTGTAAAGGGACTTCCCCCAGTTAGTCCATAGATCTCTACCTTGAGCCCAAGGCAGCAGCTGCCGGGTGTCCCTACCTGCCCCTGCACGACCGCCATCTTGTGCCTCCACCTGCCCTTGTGCAGCGAGGCCACCTTGATCCAAGTGTGCAGATGGGAGCTAAACATCCACACATCACGGCTGTTGATGTGGCCTCCTAGGGAGAGAGAAGCAGCTGTTGTTCCCAGGCCCTCTTGCTATCCCCAGGGGAGCAGGGACTGTGTTTTATTCTCTGAGTCTCTAGGGCTCGAATCTCAGGGAGGGCACCATCCATTGGTATCAAACCGATCTTTGCCACTGTCAAGACAACAGGGGAAATTCTTAATTTCCCTATAAAATTGGGTTGTAATGGGAATTAAATAACTAATGTAAGCTGCTTAGCATAATGCACAGCACATGCTAGGCTAAAGAGAAGTGATGAGTACTAATCTGAGTTGAAGTCAACATTGCAAGGGTGGAGTCACACCAGTGATTGGCTCTGCAGTACCACCTCAGCCAGTAACTGTAGGTTATCAGGACCGATCTGCTCCTATAGTCTGGTTGGAGGGAAGAACAGAGGGCGGCGCACGGGAAGTGATGAGCCAATCCTGTGGGACTCCGGCTATGGCTCCGCCCTCACCAGAGACATAGATGTCATTGCGGAGAGTGCAGGTCGCGAACTCTGAGCGCGCGAAGCCGGGCACGCTGGGCAGTGGGGTCCAGCGCCGGCTGTCGGGATGGTAGGCGTCGGCGAACGGCAGCTTAAGGAGCCCCTTGCGATCGCAACCGCCGATGACCACGATCACTTCAGCTAGGTCCATGAATCTGGCGTGGGGACAAGCCCAATGCCGGTTAACCCACACACGTGTTTCAGCCCTATTTCACCCGCTCATGGACTGCACTATATGGTCCTGCTGCCCTTCTGTGCGCTTCTGCTCCCCACCCTCCGCATGCTGGACTCTGCCACTTTCAGCCTCCCCTCTGGCTACTGAGGGGAAGAGGGGCACTACTCCTTACCCCGTTCTACTGACCTCTAAGTTACAAGAAAAGAATCTTTACAGAGTCCTTACCCTTACCTAGAAAAATCACCTTGTTTAATCCTGACTTTGGCTTGCAAAAGTCATGTAGCTGTAGGAGACAGAGGTGGAATTCAAGCCCAAGTTGGTGTGCCACTAATTCTCTTCACCCTTTTCTGACCTCCATCGTGGACTAATTTTGCTGTGTCCCTCCTCCTATAACCATCTCCTAAACTTATCCCCTAATCACTAAATCCATTGAACCAGGCTACACGCCCTTTCAGCAAATCATTCTCCCTCCCACTGACCCCACCAGAATTTCCAAACCCTTTAGCCAATTCCTACCTAATTCCTTTGACAAATATTGAACATCTTGCACCAGGCCCTGAGCTTACTGTTGGAGATACAGTGATGAGTAAGACAGAGTCTGTCCCTTATTCCTGTGAGGGTGACAGACCATCTTGACTACTCCACCCGAAGTCTTCTGGTCTGGTGTTCCAGGGGTGGGAATAAGCCTTTCTTTTTTTCCCCCCAAGCCCTGCCTATTTATACCCCTTACTAGACTGTGCTCCCTGAGGGTAAAGGGTGTTTCCAAGTCACTCCTGAGTCTGCACTGAGGCAGAATGTGCACGAGATGTGAGATCCCTGCATTTCCCCCATTGGACTATGAACTCTTTAAGGACCCAGCACCAAGCCTATGAAATGTCTGTTGTATGTATGACAGTCTCATTCAAGAAGCATGATCAAGTGATAGGATTAAAGGATGATGGCGGATTGAGAGAGCAGTTGAACAAGGGAATAACAGGAAATAACGCAGGGCAGGAGGCAAGGGGCAGCTGGGAGGGAGGGGGCAGGGCGTACCTGCGCGGCCGGGCCCGCAGTGTGCCGGTCTCGCGGCCCAGGATGAAGCAGGCACGGGCCTCTAGCAGCAGCGGGCGGCACTCACCGCAGGCCTGCAACAACTCGTCAGCCTCTACCTTCTCCAGGAAATAGGCGGGCGCCAGCAAGGGCAGGCGCACGTGCTCCAGCAGGCGCCTTAGCTGTCCGCGGCGGGCTGGCGGGTCGTGACGCACCCAGCGCATGGCCGCTTCGAACACGGCCTCCTCGTGCGCCACGCCCAGCGCTGGGTCGGCCAGAAGCGCTGCCACCTCGTCGGGCGTCAGCTCCAAGAAGTCGGCGTGGCGCGCCACCTCGGCGAAGGCCTGGCGCAGCACGCGGCCGCAACGCTCGGCCAGAGAGGCGAGGGAGAAGGCAGCGGCCACGCGACGCAGCGCCAGGCTGTTAGCGGCGCGCAGGCGACCTTCGAGGAAGCGCGCGCAGGCCTCGCGCAGGCCTGCCACGCCCAGTCGCTCGGCCAGGGCCAGCACCGCAGCCGCTTCGTCCTCCGCGCGCAGCCGCACGCCCGCTCCGTACAGGTAGTCGAGCACCACGGCCAGCGCCGTCGCCACCGCTGTTCCGGCGGGGCCCGGCGCCTCGGGTACCACGGGCACCATAGCCAGGCCACGCTCTGGCTGCCCAGCCGCGAACAGGCTGCGGAAGTAGGTGCTGCCCGCGCTAAGCGCTGCGCGGTGGCATGGGAAGTCGCGGCCGCCGGCACGTAGCACCACGTCGGTGAGGGTGCCGCTCCGCCGATACGCATTCAGGGTGTGCAGGATGCGCTGTGCGTGGCAGGACCCCGCGCACGGCGCCTCGGAGCCCCAATCCAGCTCCGGCTCCTCCGGCACTGGGCCCTCCAGCGTCCTGCCGGGCAGAGAACACAGACCGCGTCGTCGGCAAATCCACCTGGCTGGGGCCCCGTTAGAGGGCAGGAGGCCTCTCACCCACCATTCCTTCCGTTGGTTCACTGGTTTACTGAGGCAGGCGCGCATTATCTTAACTGGTGTGCTTTCATTCATGCGACCACTCTTCCTTCCGTCCACCCGTCGAGATTCCTAATGGCCTCAATGAGCTAGTCCCAGCCTACCTGAAGGTCTAGACCCTGTCTTAGCTGTACCACCTCCTCCTCCACTTACCCAATCAGCCATACTGCTCTTTCTGTTCTTCAGACGTACTAAGCTTTTTCCTATCAGTATTGGCAGGAGACAGATGGCATGCTCTCAGATGGGGTAACTTAAGGAGATTCTAATAAAGGAAGGATTTACAAAAGCATAGACAGTGTTTTGGGACTCCCACCAGGGATAGAGCAGTGCCACATGGCTACCAATAGCAGGGAGACTTTACCTCCCCAAGGTCTAAAGGTGGAGGGCTGGGAGATTATTGGAACCTGCACAAAATATCTGTATAAGGAGGGCCCTCTGACAGGAGCTGTAGCCTTTGGTCAAGGAATTCAATCGACCCCACAGAGATCCAGTCTGTGCGGGGGGTATAACTCTACCCCCATCTCCTCACCCCGTCCACTCTCCTTGGGATCTCCGGCAGGTGCTCCCTGTTGACCACACCTTGATTATTCTATTTAATGTCTGCCCCTCCCCAAGAGTACAGGATCTGGCCCATAGTAGGTCGAGTGAATACATTAAGTTAGTATTTATTGAGAGCCTTTTCTGTGCCAGTCAGTGAACAAGACATAGTCCCTGCCTTCCTGGAGCTCGCAGTGTGGCAGGGTCCCATGGGGAAGTACAGAGCATTAGGAGACTGAGAATGATAAGTAGCATTAGCCAGGTGAAGGGAAGGGAGTGGAGGGAGGAAGTCTCCAGCTGAGAGAACAGCCTGTGCAGAGGCCCTGAGGGAAAGAGGACATGAGATTAGAGCCCAGGCTGAGAGGGAAGTTGACCTTTTTCGTAAATTTTCTGTTCTCAAGGAAGCCCTGTGGGGGAGTGGAAAGAGCTGGCTCTAAGGACTGATCCGGGTGCTAATCCTGCCTCTGCCCCTGACTCGCTGTGTGACCTGCTCAAGTTACTCCCCTTCAGGTTCCTTATCTAAAATGCGGTCATAATGCCTCTCTCACATGGTTGTTGTGACTTGGTGACTGTGAAATGGAATGTATGAAAAGTGCTAGGTATACAGTACAAACTCAACAAATGTTTCCTTACATGTTTTTACCCAAGAGGAAGGGAGCACACCACATGTGTTAGTTGCTTTTATGTACATAATTTCATTTGACCCTCACAAACCTGAAGAGTTTCTTTAGACTTCTTCCCCTCTTCTTTTTTAAGTTTGTCATGAGGAAACAATCACATAGATGGAACCTGCCCTTCAGAGGTTGCTGTGAGGATCAAAGGAGGGGTGTTTGTGAAAGCATTCTGTAGCCTGAAGGGCTGTAACGGATTGGTTATGATTTGGCCATTATGAACATACAGCTTCTGCTTGCATACTTCCAGGGACAAGGAGTACACACCTTTATGTAGCAACTTACTCTAGAGGAGCAGACCTCTGCTCTCTGCTCCTTGCTTCTCCCTCCATTCTCCTGATCCCAGCTGCTCTGCCTCCCCTGAGACTGCTTTGCCCTGGAGATCAGATCTTGCCCAGGAGTCAGTCTGGCTTTCACTATTTATGCCTGGGCCATCCAGTGTGGTGAATCCCCTGTCTTAGCATCAGAGGAAATGAGCTTCCTGATGGGCAGGGTCCCAGGAAGTTAACTACTTTGCCCAAGTAGAGGGGCTGGGCCCTGAACCCACCTGGCTGTAGACTCTGCATGCCTAGCGGCTCAGCCACCCTTGCCAAGGTTGGGGTGTATCCCAAGGAGCAGCGCAGGACCACCGGAAGGAGTTGATGGGGTCATGGGAGCATGCTGCCTTCATTCTATTTTCCACTGGCTGAGAAGGCAGCCCCCTCTAAGCTGACATCCGAGAGGGCAGGCCTCATCAGCGTCAGGTGGGACTTCTCTCTGCAGAGATGTCCCGGAACTGGGGGCTGCCAGGGGAGAGGGAGGGAGTCCCCTCCTGGGGAGTGCGCCAGTACTTTTTCATTCATTCTCCTGCTGTCTCCTGCACTGGGCACTGTGGACACACTGGGACATCAGACCCAGTTTCCACCCTAGGGATTTCCAGTCTGGGGGCCGAAGGACAACCCATTGGAACATGAAAGGTAGGGATTTCCAGGCAGGGCTTGATCTAGTTTTCTCTTATCCCAGCTAAGAGTCTAGGCACCTCAGGCCAAGGGTGCTGACACAGACTGAGGTACCCAGCCCCTAGAAGTTGACATGCCACCCTGTTTCTTTTTCACAGTCACACATACACCCACAAACACACACTCAGACTTGTAGACATGACACAGCCAGGGTAGTCCTGCATCCTAAGTCCCCAGATGTACCTGGCACTTACCTGGCCATGACCTCTCCCAGGCTCTCTGCAGCTGCTGCTCGTGCACTGACCACTCCTGTTTGTCCTGCCGCCCTGCACCCCTGACAGCCTGGGCGCAGTGTCCCTGCCGCTCTGCCTGGACTCCCGCTCAGGCTCAACTGCAGGAGGACAAAGGGGATGGACGCTGACGGGGGTGGGGGGGGGGGGGGGGGGGGGGGAGAGGAGAGTTAAGGGGGAAGGGGAGGAGGGGACACAGGGCTTTTGTTCTACTCTTGGATCAGCCCTGGGAGGGGGAGAAGGGAGGACCCAGAAGTAGGCGTGGGATTGACTGTGTGTGCAACTCGGATCCGTGTGTCTGGATTGGGGGTGACCTGGTGCTGGTTGTGCCCCTGAGTGATACAGGGTGTGTGTGTGCGCATGCAGGCGTTCCAGGGTACCTGTACGTGCGTGTGGGAGTGCATGGGGACGTGGTGACTGGCATCGGGGTGGGTGTGATTGAGTAGCTGTAGGTGTGCCTAAGAATGTAACTGCACAGCTTAGAGGTCTAGGTATCCCTCCTGCCTCTGTGACTCTGTGCTCTGTGTTCCTGCTTGACAGCAGACGTGTCATTGTGCGACTTTTGTGTATCTGGTTATATGCATTGTGTGTCCCTGTCTTTGTGTCAGCATCTCTCTATGATCATTTGTGTGTGTGACGGGTCTGTCTGCGTACGCCGGGGGGCTGTGTCGTGTGGACTGTGTGTGTGGACAGCGTGTGGTCCTGGGTCTGTGGTATGGTATGGCTGAGGTGTTTTTCCCTCGACAATGTACCCACCGTGGAGGGAGCACGGTGAAGTGGGCATGGTGGTGCTGGGCCAGCCTGGTGGGCGTGGGGAGAGAACGAGGCAGCTCTGGGCTGGCCTGGAGCCAGAGGGAGGCAGCTCCATAGGCTGGTGTCTGTTCACTTGCTGCCTCTACGAAGGGCCATAGGGCCTGGTGTCTGTGGGGCAGGTGAGGAAATTTGCTTTCACGGAAGAGGGCAGCAGTTTGGGAGAAGGGTGTCTTGATGAGAGCCCGGATGGGCACAGGGCACCTGGGAGGTGATACTGGTACTGCCGGGATTCTCTGTGCCGCTCCAGGCAGATCACTAAGCCCCCCTTAGCCCCAGCTCTTCATCTTGGCAGGAGCAATAGTCTAGTCATAGTTCCTGCTCTGCCTGTCTTACTGAGGTGCTGTGAACTCAAGAGGGGATTGTAAGTGAAAGCCATCTGCCAGGTGGACTCGGTGAGGCTGGGATCCTGCAGGAACCGCCCCGTCCCCGCCCCCTGATGGGCGGGGTCACTGTGATGACGGCCAAGCATGTGTCCTGAGGCCTGGGGGAGGGTCTGCTCTGGGGACTGTGTTCCAGGGAATGGTGTATCCTGCTTCCCCCTAAAAAGGGATTGTATATATTGCTGTATGTTAAAGGATGTGAGAGATTTGGGCACCTAAATACCTGGAACAGAGGGGCTGAGGGTTCAGGGAGGGCCCTGGCGAAGGTGGAGGCTGGGCTCGGCCTGGAGAGGCCTCACCCCCTAAGGTCCAAGGAAGGAAGCAAGGAGTGGGTCTGTGGAGATGGCAGTAAGGGAGAGGCCCTGTCTCTGGTTTCCCTGTTAAGGGCAGTCAGGCTGTCCTCAGTAGACAGGGAGAGGTCACGAGGCGGGCATTGGGAAGGTGGCCTTCTCAGTAACCCCTCAGGTCAAGGGACACGAGCCAGGGTTGACCACAGGCTGTGGGCTCAGCTGAGGGTGAAGGGTTCAGCTATCGGCCTAGCTGGGGGATGGCCTCCATCCTCCTTCCATTGTTTGGGGTGAGGGGAGACTGCTGGACTGCCTCTGCACTGGGGAGTGGAGGGGTACAGTGTAGGGCCCTGGTGAGAGTGGGATGCCGACAGGCTGTTCCACTCAGAACTCCCAGCCCCTTCTCCCTGCTTCTGAAAGACCCTAGGATGACTCAAGTTGCCCAAGTGTGGCCAGCCAGGAGCCTGGGACATGCTAGCCAGTGGACCCAGGGGCACTGACTGGACAGGGAGGGGCTAGCATGAAAGATTGGTTCTGTTTTCCTGGGCAGGCCTGCCAGACACTGGAGAGGAGGTTACTGGGGCATTTGGGTAGGGCAGTGTGCCCCACTGCTGGCCCGGACAGTCCAGGTTTCACGTACATTTCTTCATGCCCAGGGAGAGCCGGGAGCTGACCTCTGCCCCAGGAAGGGAGCACTTGGCAAATGTTTGAAAGGGGGAAAGGAGGGTGAGTCCCCCGATAGTTCCCAGAGGGGCAGTCCTAGAGGTTAATGTGGGGGGCCCAGTCTGGGTTCCAGCATTAGGAGGGGTTTCTTTTCCTTTCCTCCCTGAAGGCGCCAGACCCCAAGAATTCTATCCAGAAGGCCCCTGTTTGGAGAAGAGACACATCCCTTGGCTCCCAGGAAGCACCATGTTTATTTAATGTAGGATGAAACTGGGGTTCAGCCCCCTCCTTTCCCCTAGGACACACCCAAGACCATGCAGACTTTTATGACAAAGATGGGATTTACAGACCCCTTCTCATGGAGGGCAGAGGGCAGAGGTCCAAGGACTGAAAGACAGGGGCATCTGTGGTCCCAGGGGCTGTATTTTGGCTTTCAGCCCAGGGGCCCCACTGTGCCAGGAATGGGAATGGGCCTCTTCAAAGCTGAACCTCCGCCACGGGGGAGAGGCATCTCCTGGCTGAGGGCCTGTCCCTCCATAGGCCAGGGATCTCAGAAAGCCTCCATATGGCCACGAAGGGACCTGCTCGTCCCACTGCCCAGTCCTACATCGGACCAGGGAGCCCTCCCCATCTGCCTTACCATTCCCAGCTGGTTACGGAAGGCACACAGAGCCTGAGTGGGATTCTGGCTCTGCCAGTTCTAAGCTGTGTGGCTCCGATGGTCACTTTACCTCTCCAAGACTGTCTCCACCACAATATGGGGACACTTGCCCCTAAGCCCAGTGCTGTTAAGGAAGCCCCAGTGCCATGTGATGCAGGGGAGGGGCTCCACCACCCTGCCACTCTCCCATTCATTTCTGAGAATGGTTCTTCCTCAGTCATGGGACCCGAATCCCAAACCCAGCAAGCTCTGTCCCCACCCTCCCACTGACAATTCAGAGATGACACGTGTCAAGATGGCAGCTTTAATCATCTTGGCCGAGGCCCCTCAGGCTCCCTCTGCTGAAGGCCTCCTTGGCCATATACCCACCCCTGACCATGCCCTAACACTTTTCGCAGGTGGCCCCTGCCCTTGGCCACTGACGTGGGAACCTGAGGTCATGTCAGTCTGTGGATCTCCTGGGTGTGGATCCAGCAGCCCCGAGCCTGCTCTTGCCACCTCCAGCTGCTCCTAGGGGATATGGCTCAGACCCTCTCCTGGGGCAGGGCCAGCGGCAGCAGGAGGCTGGCAGGGGAGGAGTGTCTCCACCACTGTAGCAGGCGTTGCTCCTGGGCCAAGCTTCCTTGTGCTTTGAGACTGATGGAAGAGCAGAGGTGCTGGGGCAGAGGCCTAGCACAGGCCCTTGAGGCAGGAGAAACACAGAGAGGGTGGTTTCCTCACAGCACAGACAGGAGGACAGACACACGTGGGCACACGCAGGCTCCACGTCCTCCACTGCCGCAGGGGGCATGGCATGGCCCAGTGACCCTTCAAAGCTTCCCGGTCAGGATGCAAGGGAGGGCCTCAGGGAGTGGACCAGGCCCCGAGCCCCAAACTTCCCAGAAAAAGGAGCCCCAGGCCCGCAGGGGCATCTGAGAGGCTGGCGAGGGGAGCCCCCTCCAAGAGAGGCCATGGCTGACGAGGGGCTGGAGCCAACAAGAAGACTGTGGAGCCAGCTCCCAGAGCGTGCTTCTTCCAGCTCTGTGGGCTTCCCCTGTCTCCACATGAGGTACAGGCTGGACAGACGGGTCTTCAGCTAACGCCCACTCCGGTCTGTGAGGGTCGTGGCGCGGCTGCTGCTCCCTTGGGGGCCCATAGGGGAGATGGTGCTGTTGGCATATGTGTCATAACTGTTGTCTGAACATACAGAGAGCTCATCGGAGACCTCCATGCCATCGCTGATCTCTGTTGGGCCAGAAGGAGGCAGAATATGAGTGCAGGAAGGAGAGGAGTGGATAGATGGCTGGCAGATGCGGTGGGAAAGGGTGGCCTGGAGCCACTCCTGGTCAGCCACTAGGAGGAATGAAACCTCGGGTTTCAGGTATGCTATTGAGCTTGGCATTCAAGGCCCTTCTCAGTGTCTGCAGACACTCTGGTCGCACTTCAGTCTCCTCTGCCTGGAACTCTACCTTCCAGCCACAGAGAACTATCTGCACCCTCTTAAGCTTGGCACGCGCGTGTTTGCTCTCCTCGGGGCTTTGCACGCACTGGCCTGTCCCCTGGGCATGACCTCCCGGTAACACTTCCTTTTCTTAAAATCTGGCTTCTCATTTCTGTTTTTGCCCCCAGGCTGGGATGGGGCCTCCTCATGACCACCCTGTTCCCCCCTGCCCCACCTGTGTTGTCACCATCTATGGCCCCCATCGGCTGGAGTACTTCAAGGACAGGGATGAGGTCTGGGCATCAGTGTCCCCAGTGGCTGGTACAGTCCTGGACACACAGCAGAGGCTTAGAAAAGGTCTGCTGAGGGGAGCTAAGCACACCCCAAGGGGACTCAGAGCACCTTGGTGGGGCTGAGGGTTCCTGGAGAAGACCTCTCAACCAGGAGTGGGCAGCGGGTGAGGCCTGCGGCGACTCTTCAGGGCCAGTGATGAGAAGGTGCTAGGTGAATGAATGGCCTTTGGCATTACAGAGAGGTGGGGGTCGGGGAGGTGCAGAACCTGACAGGCCGAAGTGCTGGCCTCCTGCCTGCCATTCATGCTACCTGCCCCTCCTGACTTCCCTGGGCCAGGCACAGTACAGAAGCCTGGGGACTCCTCCTTCCAGGAGCTCCCCAGTGTCGCCAGAGAGCTGTGGGAGGCGGGGGGAAGCCCTCCAACCCCGCTTTGGTGCTCAGGGAAGGCTCCCAGGAGAAGGAGGGTTTTTGAGCGAGGGTAGGAGGAATTAAGTACCCCAAAGGCAAGAATCTGTGTATCCTCAGCACCTAAAACAGGGCCTGGCATGCGTCTGTTGAAGGAAGGGATAAATAAAAGAGTGAATAAATGAGTGGATGTTCACACAGTCGCTGGAGCCAGCCCCACTAAACCCACAAGCACCCCCCACTGGGCTCTGTTTCACTCGGGCAGCATTTACCAAGCACCCGTCTGGGCCAGGCGTGGCACTAACCCTCACAGGTACTCTGTGAGGGGGAGCTAGCCCATTTTACAGAGGAGGAGTCTGATGGTGAGGGAGGTTAGGTAATATGCTCTTGTTCACACAGCTCGGGGGATAAGCTGGGATTTGAATCCAGGTCCATCTGGCTTCTAAATATCTCTCAAATCTCTCCTCTCCTGTTTCCATTCCCACAATCCCCATCTGAATTATTGGTTTTCTTGCCTCCAGCTTCCCCTTCTAACCCACCCTCCACACTCGTTAGAGACTGAATTGTGGGGAATTCCCTAGCAGTTCAGTGTTTAGGACTCTGCACTTCCACTGCAGGGGGGCACGGGTTCGATCCCCGGTCAGGGAACTAAGATCCCACAAGCCCTGTGGCGCCGACAAAAGAAGAAAAAAAGAGAGATTGAATTGTGTTCCCTCCAAATTCGTATAGTGAAGTCCTAAACCCCAGCACTTCAGAATGTGACCCTCTTTGGAAATAAGGTCATTGCAGATGTAGTTAGTTAATATGAGGTCATTAGAGTGGGCCCTAATCCAGAATGACTGGTGTCGTTGTAAAGAGGGGAACTTCGGACACAGAGATGCATCTACAAGGCAACGGGAGAGGCCAGGACCAGATCTTTCCCTCACAGCCCTGCTGACACCTCGATGATGGACTCTTAGCTTTCAGAACTGTGAGACAATACATCTGTTTTTAAGCCACCCAGTTTGTGGTACTTTGTTACAGCCCCACTGTAACAAAGACAAATCTGTCTGTTACCCTCCTCTTCTTTCAGAACAAAGCCCAAGCTCCTGACCACACACTTGAGGCCGAAGTGCCTCCCCAGCGCCATCTTGGGGTGAGTCAGCCAGAGGCCCTGCCTTCGAGCCATGGCAAGGAGTGCTCCCTCACTACCTCTGAACACATGCTGTTCCTGCCTCAAATGCCCTTCCTTCCCTCTGCTCGCCCAGCCCTCACCTCAAACCTATCACCCTCCTACCCTTCCTTCCCATTTCAACTACATCACCTCCTCACAGAGTGGGCCCCAAAACCTTCCTCACTGCCCCAGGGAACTCTGAACCCCTCTCTCCTCCTTGTACCCCACTCTGGCTCAGCACCCCCATCTATTAGAGCTCAGTGACACCTAATTTTCCATGTATTTGTTTATACAGCTGCCTCCTCCATCAATCTGGGAATGTCAAAAGGCAGCAAGCAGGGGTGAAATCAACGTTTGTGGGGTCTGTGTATGAACCAGCATGGCAGGATGGGCCTCCAGCCCTCCCCCCACCCCTGCATGTCACCCTTGCCCACTACCCATGGGGCTGACACTGAGCCACAGGACCTGGAGTTGATGGCTGCATGTGGACGGGTATGCATTTCTGTGTGTGTATGTGTATGTGTGCCCCTGTACCAGTGTGAGCGTGAAGCTAGGTGGGTATATTTATGTCTGTGCCGTGTCCCTACCTGTATGTGCTGTGTGTGAAATGTGTGCACGCACACCCGTCTGCACATGTCGGGTGCAGAGGACAGAGCCCAGAGCCTGACTCAACCTGTCTGCGGAGCTGCACACCTGAAAAGATGAGCTTCTCCTTCATGATGCTGACATCCCGGCTGGTCCGGTGCACCGCGGCACTCAGCATGATCTGCTCGGGGTTGTAGCTCCGTATGCCACCCAGGCGCCACCTGCAGAGATGGCCCCGTGGGCATCAGGTCCTTCCCCACCTTTCCTTGGAGAAGGGATCCTTCCCACTCCCACAGACTCTCTGGATTTGGCCTGAGAGACCAGCAGGACTCTTGTCCGACTGTACAGATGGAGAAACTGAGGCCCAGAGTAGGGCAGAGCTGGGGCCTGAATCAGTCTGCTGACTGTCAGCCAGGGCTCTCCAGCCCTCTTACCTCCAGACCCCTAGATCCGCTCCCCTTGCCCAGGAGGATGGTTAGGGGTTGGTTAGTTATGTGTCAGGTGCCCCCAGTTATACACCTGGACAAATTTGGGGGTGGGGGCTTAGCAGGCATGACTGATGACCCACCCTGGAGTGCAAACCAATCTTGGGGAGTCCCAGCTGATGTCGCCTACAGCTCCATCATCAGGACCAGGCTGAGTGAAGCCAGTGAGGAACCCCAGAGAGGAAGTGAAGGAAAGCAGGGAGGGGAGGGGAGACAGCAGGGAGCTTGTCTTCATGGCGTCACAAGGCAAGGGTGCTGGAGTGACTTGGGGAGGGGCCTGCTGCTGCTCTGTTCCAACAGCCCTGGAAGAGTGGGGTGCATATTCCCTAGTGGAGAGGGACAGGCCGGAGCATTACCCCTTTAATGGCTGGGGCAAGGTGGGAGCAAAACTGAATGGGCTGAGAGGTGGGGCTGCATAGGGCATGCAGGGACCAGGCAGAGCTGGGAGGACTTGGGTTCCTTCGTCGGGCCCAGGGCACAGTTCTTGCTGTTACAGTTCCTCTGAACTAGCCCCAAATCCCTGGCCTCTGAACTTAGATTCTTCCTGCAACCTAGACAGAAGGACTCACCGGACCCCCAGCCCCACTCAGGGAAGTGGGGATCAGCTTGGAAACAAAAACCCAACCCCCCAGGGCCCGACGCCCTGCTGGAGTAGGTGGAGGGAGCCCAGACTCCACGGGAAATCAGTTGTTTCCAGATGGGATCAGCACAGCAGAAATGGACAGACAGATGGACAGGCAGACAGGTGGATGAACAGAGCAGACAGACAAGGGGAAAGCAGGAGGCAGAGGGGAAGGCAACCTCTGGCTGGGCTGGCTGCCCTACGCATCCCTGAGAACAGCAATAGGGTCTTTTATTTATCGCTGCGTGCCTGGCACCAAGCCCAATGCCTGCTGTGTGCTCTAAGTATCATTGAGTGAATGAATGGAAGAATGAGGACCACAGGGAAATGAACTTCTCCCCCAGGGTCCTCTCCTCCATCAGGCCTTGCCTGACCCCCCAGGAAGACGATGATGCCGTCCTGGCTGTATCTTGAGTGGCCTAGCATGTCGGTGGAGCACCCTGGGGAAGAAGGCCCAGCACAGCACCAGCCAGCACATGTGGACATCTGCCGACTGAGAGGATGGTGGAGGGACCAGGCAAATGGCCCTTTGCTGGGCTCAGTCCCACAGTCAGTGAGCACAGAGTTCCTCCTCCTAGAAGTTGGTCAGTGAAGATGACTGACCTAGGAGGGCCCAAGGCACCTGACCAAAGGGAACTTGCACCCCCAAGACCAAGGTCTCAGCTTGGAAATTAACGTTAAACCCAGGAGGAAAGTGTCAGGCCCGTGTCTCTGCAGTGAGGTACATCTAGGACAGGAAGCTCAACCACTGGGGGTATTTCCCAGGGGAAAGTACGGGAGGCTGTGCTCATGGCGGGAGAGCAGTGGGGTGGGAGTCAGAGACAGAAAGTGAAAGAAAGAAGAGAGGTGGAGAGAAAGATAAACAGAGTGAGGGAGGGGAAAGGCAAACTGGGAGTGGGAGGGCCACAGGTGGCAGGGAGAAACAGAACTTGGTAGGCTGTGCACCGGGCACTGGGGAAGGCCTTGCCCAAAGTGCCAGGCTGTGGGGGGTGGCCCAAGCAGAGCCCCTCCCCAGAGGGAGATGCTCAGGTGCTGAGAGAAGCCAGGTCAGCAACCTGCAAGGAAATGCTGGTTCCCTGTCTGTGGGAGGGAGAGAGAGCAGAGGGACACACACGGCAAGGTGGGGAGAGAGAAGGGAGGACTGCAGGGGAGAGGATGAGAGCAAGGACGGGAAGGCGGCTTCAGGCAGGGGAGGTGTCTGCGAGGGTGACCTGGGCCTAGGGCTCCTCAGGAGGCAGCCTTTCAGAGGGAGGTGGAGAGAGGGGGCGGCGAGAAGGAGGGAGAAAGAGGAACAGGAGGAGGACCACACCAGAATTACCTGATCAAGTGATAGCTGTGAGATGCCAGAGTGCAGCAAAGTGGGGAGGGGGAGAGAGGAGGGACATGCGCCGGATCAGAGCAGTATGGGACAGAGAGAGAACGTCAGTCAAGAGTAAAACCCAGCCTGCTACTTCATGGCTGGGTTGGGGCCCCGCCTGGCCCTAAAACCTCCCCAGGACCCACCCACTCCCACTGTGACCACCACCCCCAGCTGTCGTCCTGGAGGGTGGGTGGGGAGGTCTGAGCCCGGCACGAGTGCTGTGGAAACCTGTGCCCTGGGTGACAGGCGGGGAGACAAGCCTAGAGAGGAGCCCCCCCTGGAGCTGAAACTCACCAAAGAGTCTATACAGCAAATCCTGGCCCAGCTTGGCTCTGGGCTCCCGGCTGGGTACTCATTCCAGAAGCCACTGGGCTCTGGCTGAGGGGGACGGGCTGGGGGCCACAGGGAGGCCTCCTTCTCCCCTGAACAGGGTGGTCTGGCCAGGACATCTCCCGGCCCAGGGCTCAGGAGGGCGTTCACCTGGCTGGGGGCGGGAGCTGGCCCGTCTCAGGCAGGGAGGGCCGCGGAAGGTGGTCAGGGCCTACTCACTTCTGGAGCACGAAGATGCCAACGATCAGGATGAAGGAGATCAGGTCGGCGGTGACCCACATGAGACAGTACTCGTCCGGGGGCTGTGGACAGATGGCCCACAACCAGCTTCCAGTCACGGCTGGTCCAGACCAGGGCTCCAGACCAAGGGCCCATGGGCAGGAGAATCGCACGTCACCATCAGGGAGGGGCAGAGGAGGACCTGGAGGGGGCTTAGGGGCTTGAGATTATATTTTGTAGGAGTGGGCCTGGGGTTTGGGGGTGGGGTGCGTGTGTAGGATAAAAGAGATCTGTGCAGTGTTCACTGTAGAGGTGGTGTGTTTTAAACCTAGAGGATTTATGTGCTTAAAGGGGCTTAATGCAAGAACCAAAATATGAAAGACAGATAGATGAATGAGAGGGTGTGACGTGACAAGCAGGTGCGCGGGTGGGTATGTGAAGAGGTATGTGGCATCCATGTGCGTGTGAGAGTACATGTCATTGTAGGGTGTGGAGTGTGGGAGCTTCCCCTCCAGGGGGCCATAGAGAGGGGCCCAGCAGGGTGAAACCTGCAGAGCAGCCAGGCCTCACACCCCCTTGACCTCAGGTAAACTGTGGAGGTGGGCTAGGGCACTTTTTGCTGTTGCTCAGTTCCTGTGGCCTGAAAATCAGAGTGTGCTCATAGCTACTGCTGCCACAGTTATTTCATCTCAGTCCGAGCTGAGCCTTCAGAGGTTTTAAAAGACCATGGGTGGGGGGATGGAGCTAACCACCCAAAACCTAGATCTGATTCACTGACACGGCATCATCTTAGCCATAATGAGACCCTCCATCTGCCTTTCATGACCTCAGGGAAGTGGCAGTGGGAGCACAAGAGGGAGGTCAAGGGCTCCCCAAGCCCCCTGGTTGGCAGAGCTGGGACTGGAACACAGGCCTGTCTTCAGGTGCTCAGTCGGTCAACCAACTGAAAGCTGGTTTTGTTGGCTGTAATCTCTGAGAAGATTTTAATGTTCCCTATTTTTGCCTCGTTGCCCTCTTTTCCCAATGACTTCCCTTCCTTTAAAACAAAATATAATAATCTCCAACCCCCCCCCCCAAATCCAAGTAGTTGTTTATTAGTCTAGAGCTTTTGGTGTTTTTCCCCATGTGGCTCAGGCCAAGGTTCCTCCTACCCCCCAGACCTTCGTGCAGGCCCAGAGGTCAGGAGAATCTTCTTCATGCCTCAAGCCTGTCCCCTCAGGTGCTCCCCCCACCCCTGAGACCTCACCAGAGGGAGCCTGGGTGTGGAGCCTGCCCCCCAGCCCTGGAAGCCATAGGCAGCTCCCTGGACCCCCAACAATCCCCAACTCACCATGATCCAGAGGGGGGAGGGCACCTGGGATAAGGTGTGGGAGTTGTCAGAGGTGACAGACGGGACCCCCGCACACCACAGCAGGGAGAAGAGCCACGGGGCATTGACTGTGTAGAGGTTCACGCTCAGGTTCCAGGATGCATAGTCCCTGTGGGGCAGGGACAGAGGCTGGTCGGCCCTTTGGCCAGTGTGGGAAGCCTGTAAAGCATGGCCCTTCACAACCTCACGCCGTCCTCAAAACTGTCCCTGGAGGAAGGAAACTCTGCTCTCAGAGGGCCAAGCTCACATACAAACCCAGGTGTGCCTGATGTTCTCAACCTCTCCTCTTTGAACCCTGAGCCTGTGTGTCCAGTCCTCTGGGTGAGCCTGGGCAGGATGGGGTGGGCACCTGAGCTCCTGGCGGGACACCTGAGTGTAGCGCAGGTTCAGCCGCTGGATGTGGCCTTTCCGCAGGCTGGCAGCTGCCTCCTTGGAGCCCGATGTCTGCTGGAAGCCAGGAGCCACCTTCTGCACGAAGGGCCTCTGCCTGTTAGGCAGCCACAGGACCTGCAGGCAGGAGAGGAGCAGCCTCTGATTTCCCTTCTATACAGTGGGGTTAGGGTGTCTGTCCCTCGTGGAGCACCTGGAGGGGTTAAAAGAGGCGGGACCTGGCACGCAGTGAAAGCTTTCAGGTAGTAACCACCTCCGGGGGATGACTTGGTCCCAGCCATGGCTGGGAATTGCTTTGGCAACACCTCAGGAAGATCCCCCTCCAGACCCTAGTCAGGACAAGACCGATAACGCCCCAAATGTCAACTACTGTGCACGTGGCCACCAGCGTCTTGTGTGCTGTCATAGTTGGAATCGTATTTTTCTGATCCCCAGGTATCATGTAGGTAACACTTCATGGAAGTACCATGTTCCGAAGAATCTGGCCCTGCTCCTGCCCTTTGTACATTTTATTTTTTTTCCTTTGTACATTTTAAACGCCTTTCTTATTTCCCTCTTGGCCCCATGATGACCCTGTCAGGGAGGCGTGGGGTATGCTACCCTCATTTCACAAATGTGGAACGCTGAGGTCTGGAGAGGGGACACGGTGAGTTTACTACTTGAGCGGGACTCCAGGCAGGCCTGGTCTCCCTGCGGGTGGGGCAGGGCTGGGCGGAGCTCAGCTCCTTGGGGACAGAGCTGGGTGGGGCTGGGCTGCAGGGCCTCACCTGGTGCTGGGGGAAGCCCGAGTGCAGCAGGGCCTCCAGCGTTACGTTGAGGAAGCTGCTGCGGTAGGGGTGCTCTCGCGGCGGGTCACGCAGGTTGAGCAGCAACGTGGCATTGCCCTTGGCCAGCTCCAAGAGTTCCATCAGGCTGCAGATGGACTGGTTTTGGGCCTCCCTGTGGTCGGACGGTGACAGGGAACTGGCCGTCCAGAAGGGGTCCGTCTGGCAGAGACAGGGACACACGTTTGTCTCACCAGTCCTATGGGGCCTCCACATGCCTTCCTGGCTATGGAACTTGGAGGCGACTGAGCTGCCAGTGTCGGCTGGTGTGTGCAAGTCAGGCACATTGAAGGCTGGGGCCCTTTGGGACCTCTAGGAGAACCCAACCATAACCTCTCTATCCCAGTCTGCTTGCCAAAACAATGATTTGCTTGGAACATATCCCAGACCCCAGTCCGTTTTTCTCTCAGTAGCACTTCAGACCAGAGAACCAACTTCCTCTAGAGTTTTACAGTGTTAACAATTTTAGCCATTAACTATTATAATCAAAATCAACTTTTTCTGGTAGGGGAGGCAGAACCAGAACAAGTAGTGACAACCATGATAGCTGGGCTGCAGTGGCAGGAGCCCAAGGAGGCTGCCAACCAGCCTGGCTGTGAGTCAAGGAAGCTCGGCATGTGAAGGTCACCTGAGCTGAGGGCTGCCCCTGGCCCTCTCCATGGAGTCCCTGACCATGCTTTCCATGCCTAGGACTGGGACAGGTGCTGCCAGACCTTCAGGAACCACTGGCCAGCGTTGAGCCTCTGCAGCAGGGTCCAGTTGAGCATGGAGGCGGGCCTGGGGGCGAGCTCCGGGAATTCCTCCTCCACGTTGGTGGTGCGGCGCAGGGTGGCGTCATGCATGAGGAAGGGCACGCCGTCCAGGCTGTGGGAGGGTGGGGCTGCGGAGTCACTGCCCACCCATGTCCCTCGCCCGCTCCTCCCCACCCACTTACACCAGCCCACATAGGGACCCAGGCCCGCTCTGCCCCTCTTTGGGCCTCAGGTTCCCCGTCTGCACAGGGAAGTCAGTGGGCAGTAGGTGAATCCCTCGGCTCTCTCTGAGGGTCAGATGGGGGTGGGCACTGCTGAGGAGGGAGGGCTGAGCGTATTCTCTCAGCAGCCCTGGGAGGTAGAGGCTATCTCATTTGATAATAGGGAAACTGAGGCTGGAGACAGAAGTATCAAACTCAAGGCCTACCAGCCAGTAAGTGGTGGAACCTGGCTTAGAACCCAGTCCACGTGATGCCATAATGAGAAGAGTGCAAATGCAGGCCCCTTTGACAAGTTCCACCCTGGTATCATCCCGGTCTACCCCACTCTGCTGGGGCTGCCAGTAGCCCCATAAGGTGCCTTAGCGTGAAACAGTAAAAGGCACCTGTGCTCCCCCTCCTCAAGGCATTTTTCTACCACCTGCTAGAAAGTTTTGATAAACACACAATTCTATAATGTCTACAATGGGAATGGTACCCTCACACCGTGGTACCCCTGTTCAGTACCCTGCCCCCCTCCCCTTCTCAGACATGATGTTATCAGATCAGTATGGACACTTCTTGCCCTTTTTACAAACACATACTTACAATCTACATGTAGAAATTGTATAGATCACTTTTATGTGGTCTTTAAAAGTATAACTGACATCACCGTGAACGTATCACTCTGCACCTTGCTGATTCCACTCATCAGAGTGTTTGCGCTCCATTTTGCTGAGCCATACAGAGCTAGTCTTTCCATTAAGTGGATCTGTGGCAGGACTCCAGGTCCCTACCTCCATCCTGCTTGAATCAGGTGTCTGTTTTTTTCTCTGTTTTATCCTGGAGTATGGCACAAAATCTATTTGCATAAATATGGTGCCTGCCCTGCAGTGGATAATCCAAGCTTCCGCTCTCCCATCTCTAAGACTCTGGGACCAGACGTGTCTCCAGCAGAAACCCGGGTGTGGTTGCATCGAGGAGGAAAAGAGGTGCTGTCCTCCCAAGCCCCACGCTTACCTGATGGTGACGTCAGCCTGGAGTCCGTACAGCTTCTGCTCTAGGGCCTTCCTGAAGGACATCAGCGTGTGCTCTGGGGCCAGCTGGGGAGGAAGGTGGTGGTGAGGGAGAGCCAAGCTTTAGTTCAAGCACCGCTCCCCGACCCACAGAAACTCTTCCACGTTGGGAGGCTGGGGTAGACCCGGTTCTAATTCCACTCCTCTAAGCAGTACCTGTGGAGCCCTGGGCATCCACACAGCTTCTCTGAAGCTCAGTTTCCTCATCTGTTAAATCATGCCTACCTCATAGATTTTTTTGGTGGTGGGGAGAGAGAAGCAGGGATGGTTAGTGTTGATGTATATAAGTGTCGGGGGTGGAGGGCTTTTTTACAGTCTTCTGCCTCTATGCAGTCTTGGGCTGGGCTGAATGCCAAGTTTCCTCCTGGTTATACCTTGAGTCCAGGTGGAGATCCCCAAGGGAGAGGACAGGGTAGACAGCATGGCAGAGTTTCAGTGGGGTGACTGGTTTCTTCATCTATACAGACATGACAAGACCATCTCCTAGACTGTTATAAGGATTAAAAGCTCCTAGCACGTTGCCTGATATAGAGTAAGTGCTTAACAAATGACAACTGTTACCCTATAGCATATACATCAGAAAATCCTAGTTCTAGGCCTGACTCTGCCATTAACTAGGTTTGTGACCTTTGGTGCATCTCTTTATCCTATGGGCCTCAGTTTCCCCATCTGGTCTTTGGCGGTATATGTACACTGTTCTCTGAGTGTCCTTCCAGTTGGGGGAGTTGGGGTTCCGAGTCTCCCTAGTTGTTTTGGTCTGGTGAACCTGTCATACCCTTTGCTGCCACTAGGGGTCAGCACCATACCAAGGATTGGGCTAGGACCATGTGCAGTGCGGGATACAAGACAGGGAAGACTTCTGGCAGTGAGGGATGGGTGGAAAGGGCTCCCATGGCTCATCCCATTCTCACCAAGACATGCTCATTCCCATCTTCTCTTCCTCCGGCTATGCTGTTCCCCAGCATGTAACACACTCCCCTCGTCTGGAAAGCGGCCTGGCATGGCAAGGGCTTTGAAGCTGAGAAGGAGCAATTCCCCTTCCCAGTCACCAACCTGGGCCCATCACACCTCACCCTCTGGACCTCGGTTTCTTTAGCTATGAAATGGACTAATATTACCAAGCTCATAGCTGAGGTAACAGACGTCAGCAGTCTCTGAAATGGGAGTTCCTTTCTTCCCCTTTCTGCAGGGCAGAGCGGCCTTGGGGGATATGCTGCCTTGTCTCCCGGTCAAGTGGGCTGGGTGAGACCCCACAGAGGCGTCCAGGTGTGGACTCGGTGGGGTTCCTGCTCAGTCACCTCTAAATGCCCTGTGGCCAGGCATCCCACAAGTGACCACCAGAGAGGTACCAACACCCCCCTCCCACGTGGCAGAAGGTAGACTGGGGGTAGACACAAAGAGCGTAGCAGGGGCCATGAAGACCCTTGGGGGAAGGAGGAAGTGTTTGGGAGGGGCAAAATCTCTTTTCTGGAGGCTTTCTAAACTCAGATCTCCCTGCGTTAGGTGCTGGCCTCCTTAAGAAAGAGGGTTGCTACTGCCTCAGGCCTAAAGGCAGATAGGGCTGTATTGTCAGAAGTGTGCATGTGTGGGTGTGGTCATCACAGACTCATGGTGGTGGACCACTGTGGTTAAGAGGCCCAACTTTGGAGTCAGTCTGACCAAATATTAAAGTATGCACGCAGGCCACCCACATAGGAAGGACATCCCCGTCCAGGGCACACAGATACCATCTCCAAGACAGGGATGAGCACCTGGGCTTACCACACACAGATGTGTGGACCCAGAGTCAAAACCTCCCACAGGCAGACATACAGGTGTAGACACTGGTACTCATGCATTCACAGTGACACAGGGAGGACTTGTGTCCGACACCCACACCAGCCCCTCAAGGGCCACCACCAGGATGCATTCAGCCAGATGCACAATGGGAGAAATTCTACAGGACAAATGACTCAGTTTCTTCAACAAATAAACAGCATATGGGGAAAAAAAGGGAGGGAGATTATTATAGACTAAAAGATACTTAGAAGACATCCCAGCCAGCTGTACCACACGGACTCTGTTTGGATTCTGATTTTTCACAATTATAAAGATATTTTTGAGACAAAGTAAAGCTGAACACTGATTCAGTATTAGATAGTACTAAGGAATGATTAGTAATTTGGTTAGGTGTAATAGTGGCAGTGTGGCGTAGTTCTGTTTTTAAGGTCTTTATGCATTAGAGATACATCCTGAAGTAAGCATGGATAAAATGATACAATACCTGGGATTTGCTTTCAAAAAAGACAAAGCAGGACGATAGATGAAACAAGAATGGCAAAATGTTGATAAATGGTGAAGGTGGTGTTGGATTCATTATACTATTCATTCCCCTTCTGTGAATGTTTGAAATCTTTCTGCTAAACAACAATCCACATGGGGCCACCCCACTCCTTCCCTTTGCCCCCACTTCCTGCCTCAGCACACCCCACCCTCTTGTCCTGTGGCCTCCAGAGCAGGTGGGGTGGGTAATACGGGTCATGGAAAGAAAAGCAGCTATAATATGGGGCCCTGCCTCCTGGAAGGCTGTCCTCCTAATTTATCCTTACAAAAGCCAGCAGCAGGGAGGCCTGGAGGGAACCAGCAACCCGCCAAACACACGGGCAGCATGTGGCAAAACTGGACCCCAAATCCAGATCCTCTGACTCCAAAACCATGGCCTTTCTAGCTGGTTGCCTCCAGGAGGTGCCAGGAGCAGCATGGGGTGTGATGGGAGGGCACCAGGGTCCAGCTCAGGGGCGCAGGTCTCTGAGCCTTATCTAGGAAATGTGCACAATAATGGTGATTTGCAGCCCTGTCCGACGTGACGCCTCCTTTAAATGCTTACTTCGTGAGGCCCCCTAGACTACCCTGAAATTCAACGATACCATGGAACTCCCAACTACTGCCACAACCAAGAAAAAGCTCTCATAGAGCCCTCAAGTGCCCCCTGGTGGTGATGAGTGGTACTGTATCTGTTGAGAACCAACGTTCAAGGCTTTTGTAGGTCAGGAAACCCAGTCTAGAGAAGCAGGAGGGCTTGCCCGAGGTAACAGGAAAGCATAACTCTTACTTTCTGTGAGCCAGACTCATATCTGGGCACATCACACATGCTAACTCTTGCTTCCTGTGGCCATACGGTGCAGACACTCCCATCATCCCAGGGGACAAGATGAGCAAACTAGGCACAGAGGAGATAGAATAGGCCCTGACTCCCACAGCTGCCACGGGGCCTGGAAGCCTGGCTCTGGTGCATACTCCCTCGAGGGGAGGGCCTACTCCGGGGTCACAGGGGTGGCAGAGAAGGAGCAGGTGCTGACTCTGACTCCTTCCACTCTCCGTCCCACCCGGTGCAAATGTTTTCCTTTAGCAGTGGGCTTGGAGCTGCACCCAGCTCTCTTGCCTGCACAGCCTGGAGGGTTTTTCTGCTGCTTTGTCCCAGCCCCTGGGCCCTGCTCTCCTCCCCACACCCAGCATCTCTCTCTCCTGGGCCTTCCTAACCTACAACCTGGCAGTATCTGGGCCTGGCCTAAAACCCTCCTGCATCTCTCCAGGGCCCTCAGGATGAAAGTGAAATCTTTCAAACCAGATGCCTTCGGGCTCTTCAGGACTTGATGCCATTGAAACTCTCCAGCCTTTTCACCAACCCTTTCCATTAAACCCCTCCCACGCCCACCCTCCAACACCACCACCACCAAAAAGGGCTAAAACTTGTGGCTATTATTACATTACGTGTATTATATACATTTCCCTGCAAGCTCCTCCTTACAAGGAGTTAGGTTTTTTGCCTGTCTCCCCTCTGCAATGGCAGCTCCACCCACCCCTCACCCCAGTCTTTAGGGCCCACAAGTGGCACTCACCATGGGGGCCCCGCGGTGGCCGATGAGGGCAGGTTTGGGGCCCAGGTCCTTTTTCTCCATGATGCAGGGAGAGGAGATGGTGAGAGGGGCCAGGTAGAGGGCAAACACCACGGTGAAGAAGGTACCAAGAATGGCCATCTGGGAGGCTGCAGACATGGGCCCAACCATGAGTCCCGGGCAGCTTGGCAGGGTGTGCTGGATCCCTCCTCCCTCTACTTGTCAGGACCCAGATGCTTTGAGGGGACCCTGCACCAAGAGGATCCCCCATTCTTGCTAGGAAGGTGAACCTGGCCTCTAAGTCACACACACATGTAGAGACACAGAGGAAGAAACACACAAGGCCGAGGCTGCAACCTCTGTGGAACCTGCAGGCCGGGACTGTGAACCGGGACTCCCCACACTGAGAGCAAGGGCCGCGCCATATCCCCAGGCTACCTAGGTAACGTCCAGGCGGGGGCAGGACAAGCTGGCCTTGGTACTTGGGGCACACGGAGGGTAGGTCCTGCCCAGTCATACTTACAGGATCGCTCTGCGCGGGCAAACTGTCCTGCCACAATCCAGGAGAGCGCAGTGATGGCGACCAGGGCCC